ATTAATGATTAGTATTTAATTTGTTGAAGATTTGATTCATAAATATTCATTTGATTATTTTCTACTATGTTGGCTATCATTATCATAATAATTGCATTTATTTTATCAATTACTTGATTCATTGATGGACGATTATCCGGCTCATTATCCCAGCATCCTGAAATTTGATAAAAATTTATTAATCATTATATTCTTATAAAAACAAATACATGAACATATATTTACCAGTGTGAATGTCCACAAAATCTTCAGGTGTACCGTGAATGATCTTTTCTCTAAGTCCTCCTAAAATTTCGATAGCCAAACTTCATCAAAAAAAGGAGGATAACCACTTGATATTTCCCATAAAAGTACAGTACGCCCACACTGTAAACGTCGCTCTTTTCATTTAGTTTAAATGGTAATGTATTGTCACTCCGTTTGTTAAAAAGTTTTGGGTCAAACATAAGGAATTACTCCAAATGCTTTTGACTGATTAGTTGCTGCTTCAATTCTTTTAGATAGTCCAAAGTCGGCTAACTTAATAACACCTTGATGAATTAGTATATTACCGGAATGCTATTATATGCATGTAAAAATATTAGTTATTAAACAGCAATATTAAGAAGAAAAATTATATTGTGTATAATTACCAAATCACGATGTACAATTCCTTCGTTGTGTAAACACGATACAGCACTAGCCAACTGGAATCCCAGGTGGTATTTATCCCCCAAGATAGTTAATCAAAATTACCCTTAAAATACTTTTTAAGCGAGCCGCTGTCAGCATATTCAATTTACTAACCAATATATTTTAAATTGATCATTTTGATTTTCTTTTTTTTTTTTTTTTTTTTTTAAAAAAAAAATATTTAATGAAGTAAAAATAAAATACAATAGTCAATCAAACATATATCCATATGATATTGCTATGAATATCAACTACTCGTTGAAGTTCAAGCTAAAGTTATTAGAATATGAATTCTAGTTTGACAAAAAGATTATACTAAAAAAACGAAATAAACCGATATACAATCTTTAATTTTATAATTACCTCTTGAACAAATTTTTTAACAGTGACATGGTGTTGGTTTGAACTTTTCCAATTTGCACGATAGACTTTTCCAAAGTTTCCTGTACCAATCTCTTGAAAATTACTAAATTGTTTAAATTGGTATTATTTGATACTTTTACTTGAGATTTTTCAATACAATCAATCCACTCATTGGCAGCTTGCATGATGATTTATTAAATTTTGTATTGAGAAAAAGAAAAAATTAAAAATAAAAAAAAATAAATGCATGTAACGTTATTCAAAAATCTAAGCCACCGTTAATTTTTTTTTTTTTTGAACGTAACGTACGGTAATAATTTTTTCTAAATAGTGATCTCTCTTGTGTCCGCTACACCAAAATTTTAAAAAGAAAATATCTACAAATTCTATATTCCTCCTTACCCACTTCCCGGATTAAGGATCACCAAAGCAATACAGTTTATACTTAATTTTATGTTTTCCTGTATCTAATTGATTATTTAATAAATTATTTAGCTGGATATTGGATTACTCTAATTTATTATAAATTAGCCCACCCTCCTCCCTCAAAGATAGCTCCTCCTGAAATAATTTTTGAAAAAAAATTTGTTTATTTATTTATAATACAATAATACAAAATGATGTTTGCTTATAATATAAAAAATTTACCTTCAAATGGATTCGTTAATCTCTTCAGAATTACAGGAAATGGATTCGCTAATCTCTTCAGCATTTTCGAAAAGTTTTATTAATCTCTACTGTATTATCGGAAATGGTTTGTTAATATCTTCTGTATGATTGGAAATGTTATCTTTAATCACTTCATATTGTCGCAAGATTTTCGTTGCTTACACCTTCATTCTATGAGATTTAACGCATCCGTCATTTCAATATCCTTGGTTCCCTCTTGCACAGTGTAGATAGGCACCATCCGGAGTACTCAAAATTTTGCTAACTGAAGTCGGAAAATCAGCAACAATTAACCTACAAATCTTTCCTCTGCAAGTATTTTCAACAAAACAAATATTTTCAATATATTTTACGAAAAGAAAATGGGTAATTTCAGGAGTATCTTTATTATCATATGGCTTTAGTTGAATATTCCTGTAGCTCAATTTAAGTTTGCTGAAATAATTTTTATAACAATTAATATATAATAATAATAATTAAAACATACCAGGGCTATAAATTGCAATCAACCCATTCGAATCAATGGCAATTTTCGGATTGGAACCATAATTAATTTTTAATTGGAGTTTGCGATTAAATCGTCTTGGGCAGACGTGGTATGTGTAAAGTTCCATTTTTTATTCAGATTTAACTGTTCCACTAAATTACAACATTTTATCGAATTTTGACATGTTGCTATATGATAAAGAGGCTAATAATTAATCTGTGTAGTGTTTGGGGAATAATTTTAAAAAAAAACACCTGGATTTCATAATAAACGTGTAGGTATGAAGGATTCATCTTTTTCTAATTTCATAGAATCTTCCTGGATAATCCTTATTCCATATATGGTAATTCTTAACTGTGCTGGGTATAAGCCTCTATAGAAAGTTGACAATTATTCGTTCCATATTTCATAAAGAGCTTCATCCAAATTTTATATTGTGGAATATGAGCGTTTTGCAGTAGAAAGGGAGGAAACTTCAAAAAAAAATTATTTTGTTAATATAGATCTGGAATTATTTACTAAAAATAAATCATATAAAGTAAAAAAATTTTTTTAGTAGTTACCTCACTTCTATTGCAAAACGCCCATATGATGTTAGGACATTAAAAAAAATTGAAACGCAATTAGACGCTTTACTTACATTTAATTTCTAGGCCTTTTATTATCCTTCGGGATACTTCTCATTAATCTCAGAACATATACGAACTATTGCGGATTTCAAGTTCATGTTTTTTTACTAACATCGCGATCAAACTCCTGTGAAAATTATTTGCTGGAATGTTTTGGTTTAAATATTTTTGAATCGTGGGAAATGTCTTTAAAAAATTGACTAATAATCTAAGATGTCTCTTTTTGATCTTTTTACCATATCACTTCCAACAAGTGACATACTCCAATGGTTAAATTTTTTTGAGGTCTTATATTTAAGTCTCTGTGTCGAAAAATATTCCAAAACAGTTAAAGTATAGCAACTTTCTCACAGAAACTTTTTGAAGAATAAACCGTCTCTAAGATCTTTCCATCAATGTCTTTTTCCAATTTTAGTAATATTTCAGTATAACTTTTCTGAATGTATTGAATTTCTAAAATAAGAAACATTATATCCAGCAAATATAAACAATACAGACCATTTATTGTATTACTTCAAAAAACAAATATTATTACCTATATTTGAGTTTGAGCGTATGACATGACATGTCTCTCTGTAAGCAAGGAATCATGTTGATTATTACGGCCTGATTGCGTTTATTCAATTCATCATAATTTGAAGAATCTCTTCAAATCCTAATCATTCCTTGACAATTTCTTCAAGATTAGACATTTTAAGCTAGTATCAAAAATTAGGGCACATTTTTGAGTTTCTGGTTTACTTCTGAAATATTCGCGAAAAAGAAAAGTCGATTTAAATTGTGTCTTGTCGCCCTTGGTAAACTAACAATTTCACGCGTAATGAAGGTTTGATTTGATACAGAATCAACAACCTAAGAATTCAATGAGACATTATCGAAAATCGTGGCGTCAAACCTGAAATATTGACTTTATAATGAGTTATAATTAATAGAAAGTTTTACCTTCGATTATCTGATAATAAAATTAACAATATAAATTTTCGGATAAAAAATTTTACCAAGATATGACGTTCGAAACTTTCTTTTTCATAGATGTTTGTGAATTGATTATTTTCCTTAGGAAATAGGGAATCAATCTAAATGTCTTAAGTAATCGAAAGAAACAAAGTTTTGCTCACTCTGAATCCAGTAAAATTTCGAAATCTTCCTTTTGCTCAGCTTTTTTTTACTTCGAAATCATAGCATAAGCCGTTGTCATCAGCTTCGTCATCATTTTCTTCATTCGAGATTATTCGCCTATTTATACTTTCAAAATCATGTTCACTCATTAAATTTACGTTCAGTCAATTTTGTGAGGTATCTGAAAAAATCAATTACATTATAAATATGAAAATGTAGCGTGGAGTTGTAGTTAAACCTATGTAAGTTTGTCATTCTTCTTCCTAGAGGTTGGAGCCGGTTAATTTTTAACCGGTAATTAACCTGTTAAAGATTTTAACCGGTTAAAATAGGGGAATTTGACTTCTGCCAAATTTATAGAACTGGCTTTAGTTAATTTACCCGGTTAATTAACTGGGTACCGAATATTTTAACCGGTTATTAACTTTTTAGGCCGGTTCCAACCTCTATCTACTTCTTTCTATATGAAGATGCAAAATCATCATAACAACCATCTTCTCTCTAATGAATGACTAAAATAAGAGGATTTGCCATTTCGTTCTTTTCAATAGATAACACTTGTTGAAGATAAATTCCTGGCCGGAGAGAAGGCATAAATTCACGTGACGGATTGTCGAGCAGACGATAAAACAATCGATTCATAACTGGTAAAATATTTATATTAACCATACCATTTAAAAAAAAGTAGATAACATCACATAATTAAAGAGTAAAGACTTTTTTTTCTTATTGATAATATTCTTTATATGCAAAATCATTGCAATTAGTTCATTGCGACTATAACGTCCTACAAACTGGATTGAATAGGAATTCAACTTTTTGTAATTTATTGTATATTCGGACGATATTTTTGCATCTTTTTAAACCGGTTAAAAATTAACCGGTTTCAACCTCTACAAAGATTTCAATATATTGAGTGAGTTATCATGTATCAACCACGTACTATTTTATCTAATTTCCTTCCAAAGAATAAATTGTTAAACGTAACTTTAATAGGATATTCCTTCCTTATTAAGCATCGCATTTGAAAAAAATTCATTTAAGTAATTGAATTCATAAACAGTGACTTTTGATAGTATTGTACGAAAGTGTTTCAGCCAATCATAACTCATTGTACACTTTTTAAATTTATCGTAAAATAAAATATGATTGGTTGTTATCCTTTTCATACAGTACAGTTTAGCGTACAGTTTATATGTATACCCAAAAATTAAAAAAAAATTAAAAAATCACTATATACTTTTATGAAATTAAGTATATAATGTGTGCATTTCAAGCCTTCAGTTAGTCAAATAAAAAGATAAACAGAATCGATAATGTTTTAAAAAATAAAGAATCATTTGTTTTGTCCTTTTATTTATAAAAAAATAAAATAAAATAAATAAATTTAAAAAGTTACGAAATATTTGTAATGATTCATAGAGGGTTTTATCAGGACGCAGTGTCAAATCGGGCAAGTATTTTAGAAATCAAATCGCCTTTTGTACCTTTGTATTGATTTTTAGGCAGTGTCATGACGCAACTTCGAACCTGGTAAGTATTTGAAATTTTTCCTATATATTAAAACACTGTACTTGTAACATAAAGCATAAATCATAAAGCTATAAGTTATACAAATGACAGATATGTCTAAATCATAATTGGAAATAAATCTAACGCTAGTATTGTTGGATAACTCAGTGAAATGTTAAAAGATTCATTAATTAGAAGCTTTGAATAGAACAAATAAAGACCATTTGTATAGCACAGTAATGATGCAGCCACTTCGAAATTTTTAATTTTAAATGATTTTGGACTATGATTTATAAAATATCTGTATTTTGCGCAGGCAGCAAATTCTCAACTTTTATATTGTATTAATACTATTTTTTAAAAAAAAAATTTTACTCTAATAAGCGGTGCTTTACACAACATTATCAATTCATTATAAACTCAATGATTTCTATTAATTATATTAAAGTAAATAAATCTTTCAGAATAAATTTTGAATCGATTAATTTTATTATTTGTTTTGCACCAATATTTGACACATCAACTTCATAAAATAAATAAAAGAAGCGAGAAATTAATAAATATGAAAACCCTCCTTTTTCATTTAAATTTTTTTTAAAAAAAAAAAATTTCCAACACATTAGGTTTAGAATCGATTTTACTAAAATCGAATTTAATCTATTTTTTAATGAGCAACAAGTAATTTTTTTTTATAAAACTAGGGGAGTTCTAGTTGTATTTCAAAGATAAATGTTGTTAAATACTTTTTGAAATAATCCAAGCGAAAGGAAACTGAAGAATAAAAAGAAAGGATAAAATGATCGATTTCTGTGGTCCAAAGTAATCAAACGTAAAATATTAAAAAAAAAAGGAAGTAAAAAAAGATCAAAATAAAAGGGAAAATTAGTCATTCTATTGATTCATGCTGAAAGCAAAAGTAAAGTGCGATAATCTGAAAATAAACAATTAAAACTTAGAAAAAATTTGAAAATAGTCAGCAAAAGTTAGCAATAATTGGATTATCACATAATCTGTTTTGAAATTGCAGAACTTCGGAAAAACTCTAACATTCCTTTATTAAATCATTAGGAAGATATAGTAAAGTGAACCCCCTCAATTCGCCTGCAACCAAACTTCAGTTTACAGCCAATTTCTAATTATAAATATGCAATAAAAAAAATAATTAATAAATATTCAAATTTAAATAATGATACGATTTTGATAAATATTCTACTATTATTAGAACATCTTAATCGAAGCTAACTTATCATCATGAATTCACCTAAAAAAAAAAAAATTTAAAAAGAAATAATGAATAAAAAAACCTAACCAATGTATTTGATACCGATCTAAAAGAAGAATAATAAAATAATCCAAAAACCCTCTAAAAAAAAATTAAAATAAAGAAAAATGTAAAAAGAAAAGGAATAGAAAAAAACTAATGGCAGAGAATATTCCATCGTCGCAATCATAAACAATCAAAACTAAAACTAAAAATGATCCCATTTGAAAATTAAAGGTAAAAACAAGCGGAATATTATTTTTTTGGTGAAATCGTCGGCCAAAAAGCAAAGAAATGTGAAATGATTCAGTGCCAGTAAACTTAGATTATTATAACTTAGCATCTTCGAACAGAAAAAATTTAATAGTTTTAACTTGTCACTGGCAAAACTATAACCTTATTGGTAAGGTTGCAGGGTAAAACCCAATTCCCATTTTGGCAAAAGTCTGAATCCTTTCGATTTTGATATGTTTCGACGGTTACAATTTCGATACCTCCAGGTTTTGCTGAGTAACCTTACTTATTGACAAAACCGCTGAAACTCAAAACTATGATAAATCCCAAATTATATTAAAGTCTTATTAACAAATCCGTTGAAATATAGGGTTTCCATTTGCTAAATGAGTTTGCCAGGCAATTACAAAAATTGAATTTGTTGGTTAGTTCAACCAGCGTCTGAATGTAGAAAATAAATAAACTTCAACATATGAAGATAAGCAAAATGGTAAATGAATTAGATTATAATATAATGGTAAATTTTTTCTGAATGGATAAAACACTTCATTTTTACAGTATGATCAAATATTAAAAAGTTTAAAAATGTAGCATGATTTTATATATATGCAATCCAATTTGATTTAATAAGATCATACTATTTAATTTTTCTGTTAGCAATATGCAGTATCAATTATATTTTTTGGAAATTTGTTTTAAGATGCAAAGCAATTTCATCACTAACCTTAAGTTAATCATAATAAAAATCTTTAACCGGTTCTAACCTCTATAATGAATAATAAAGTAAAAAATAAAAATAAAGCTGTGCTGTAAGTCAAACCAATTAATAGAAAATAAGAATAAGGGATGTAATGATAAAGATACAGAAATCAGATCCATTTGTAAAAAAAGCACTATAGGCATATTGAATTATCTAATAAATTATAACTTGTTCATCTTTTTTATAAATATATCTCAAAATCAGATTTCTATCTTCCATACTTTGTATTTGTAAAAATACTAAAATAAAGAAAATTTCATTATGCTATGTATATGAAATCAGCTAAATCAAAACAGAATGTCTTCTTATTTAAAATATGCCAACTACAAGAATATTTAGATAGATAATTAACAGAAAAAGGATGCTTCAAAAGTATGAGAATTGCAATTGATATTAAATAAATATTTTTTGATAAAAATATTTTTGTTTAAATGTACAAATGAAGTAAGTTTACATTATTTTATAAATAAATAAATCATCAGTGAATATTATTAAGCATGAAAAGAGTTTATTTAAATTATTTCCTATTTTGTTTCTTTCAAAAATTTAGGGTAAAAAACATCATTAATCATTTTTTAAAGTTTACGCATAGTGTTAACATATTTAATAACTTTGATAAATTCCTATAAAATATTTCATTGATGATAAATTTTCAATGATATTAGTTATTAAAACTTAAGATTTGTTCAGTTGAACATTTGCCAACTCTCACATATTTAAATTTATCAGATTATAATTGCTTATAATTTAGTATACGATTCTATTAGATATAATTATAGAATATATATAGCACTATACAACTTATAAAATACAGTAATTATTTATCCAATAACACATCTCTATAAAATAGAAATGTTCAGAAAATATCATAAAAATGTTCAGAATTTATCTGAATATATCAGAGAATATCTAGAAAATAACCATTATTTGTCTTAAAAAATGATCAAGCTTACTATTCAGATTTATTCAAATATTTAAATTCATCTGAAATATGTACAGAAAGAAATTTAATCTTTTTTTTTAATACAGAATATATTTAAAATTTGTATTAAAACTATGCATCTATTTTTTAATACAGAAAATGTTCAGATTATATATTAAAATTTATGTTTAGCGTTAGACCTAGAATAGTCTCAAACTAAGCTAACAAAATCAATAAACTTAATAATACAATTATCTCAAAGGCCTTTCCTAAGAAAATTAACGATTAACAAACAAAATAATTTATTATCACAATTCATTTGTATATTAAATTATCACAATCACTCTTATGATAAAGATAAGAAGAAGGTTAAAAGTATAATATAGTAACTTTATTAAAACTGTAGAGTTATAAATCTAGCCCTAAGACTTATTTAGAAAAATATTTGATTGAACTCTGT